ATAGTAAATCCCTTACAATATTTATTTTTCGCTTCACCGGTACATAAACGACGATAGGTTATAAATCTTTTTGAAAACGAAACGAGAGCGCTTTGTTTCATGACTTTTGTCACAGCCAGTGCTGCCAATATTAAAATGTAGTTGCGCCATAGATTTGCATAAAGTTACGTTCAGAAATCAACATGTTCAAATCTGCCCCTGTGCTAAGGTGCTTCCTTCTCCCCTACCTACTAGGCATACCTTTTTATGAAATCTAGCTTTTCCAGGATCGTCAGGATCTTGAAGGTCGATAGATAATAAAGAATCAAACATAGCCAAAGTGAAATAGAGGAACAAAAAGAGTGTAAGTGTAGTATAAATAGAAGCTTACAACCATGAGTATCACCACATATTTCAAGTATTCGGGAGGATGGTGGCGTGACGGAAAGTGTTTAAGTTGAGACCTGTGTTGCGGCACAAACCGCTTGTGTTTTTAATGCAACAAAAACTGACTGAGACATGTAGACGTATATTATAATTATATAGAAATAGTTATTTTTACTTTAATTTGGAAATTATATTTTTTGTGACAAGTGAATTTTATTAGAAATGTCAAGACATACGTACATATGATCATGGTGGTTGAAGAGAACAAGAACGATCGTTTCGTGCTAAAGCATTAGCCCGCCTGCCCCTGAAAATTTATAGAATTTATAGTTCATTTTTCAGCCACCAGCCGCGCTGCCGTCGGTAAATAGTATCTGTGAAGTTAGTTGTTTATGAATACAAGTAGATGAAGTTAGTTGAATAATGTACAAATTTTCTTTGCGGCATTGGTCATTTCCAATGAGCGCACACACAACAGCCCGCTTTTATTGAGACAACTTAGCTATCGCAGCGCTTCACTTATTTTGTTCATATTTCTGGGACACTATTTCCTACAGCGATCGTTCTCCTTCTCTCTAACCTCCATGTATATGATAAAGCAAACGTTTTCATAAAGAAAAATAAAATAAGGTTTCGCTACAACCTGTATTCGGATATATGGTCAAAGGACTATGGGCGGAATCGTCCCCACCCATCAACACAAATGAAATGTAGCTTAATTGATAGATCTTGGCAAGATGATAGTTTTTTACTATGGCGACGTTGCCCAAATGCATGGGGTTCTAATGGTATCTTACGTTTAAATAAATATCTCATTGACGTATTATTGACGACTAATTCCAAAATACCTACTCATTTTTCTATTCATTAGTGCACAGCGGCGGGCTGCGCATGATCATAAAGATAACCGGTTACAAAATAACCCAATCCCCCCGCTTCCCGGCCCATGCTCCTGCGCAGGCGCCCTAACCTTAGTCACAGTCAGCTCGCTGCAGTGTACGTTCACGTGTTATTTCTTTCTGTGTTTACTTTAAGTCTCTTCCGAAAGCTTTGACTTCCTGCCCTTATGCTGCGCACATAATCTCGTACCCTCTTCCCTGAGGATCCGCCCACATTTTCGAGGTTTTAGTTTACGTCTGATGTGGTTTCCACGGCAGCAAGTCGGTTCTCCAGATTTAACTGGAACGTTTCAGATCATGTTATAGATTGGAGCAGAGTAGGTTGGAGCCTGGATTTCATCAAACGGACGCGCTCGGCCTTAAAGTTGATATTCGGAGAGGGGCTCTCCGAGTCAGTGATCCCTATCGGTATTGAACCTGTTGATCACGGAGATTTATCTGAATATGAGCCTCTTGTCCGTCATGATGAAATCGATCTCATTTTTAGTCATAGTATCGGGGCTTTGCCACGTCCACTTCCTTTGGGGCTGTTTCTTAAAGAAAGAGTTCGTCAAGAAGAGCCCTTTCTGTTTGAGGAAGTTGACGAGCATTTGCCCCCTATGATTTCTGCTTCCAAATCAATGGGATCATACTATATAACATAACAACGTTGTAGTAGGTCTTAGTAGTGGAGTGGAGGGCCCTCGATATATCATCGAACATATCCTCCACTTCGTCGTCCGAGTGTGTCGAGGTTTGTGCGTACACTTGCACCACCTTGAGGCTATAGCCTCAAGGTGGTGCAGATAATCTCACTGAGAAGTATACAAGAAGTATACTTCTCAGTGAGATTTATAATAAGGTACACTACCCTGTTCGACATGCTGGACATTTCTACAACGTTATCGGCAAGGGATTTATTTACCAAAAACCTAACGCCACCTTGGAACTGTTGGTCTCCCCCGCGGAAGTATTTTTTTGAAATCTTTATTTAGGTCGTAATGACAGGCATCAGCAAATTATTTTTGGAGGAAATATAACATATGCGGTAAGCAAATTGCTTGTATTGCTGACGAGGAAGTTACCTTAATGATTCAAGAAGCGTAGTGATTATACCGTTTTACGACTTTCTTTGGCAACTTGTGTTAAGTGTAAAATCAGACAAGGCTTAGAATTTTAACACAGGCTAGTTGGGACAATAGTTTCCTTATACATATCAGGTCAGTGAGACCCATTTTCGATATTGGCGGTTTTTTAAACCCTCAACGATGTTGATGGATTGACTTTTATACCAAAGTGAATGACTTAAATAATACTTAAGTACTAGCATATTGATTTTTCAATTTAATAAAAAAACTGTATTAACATCTCTGTTGAAGTCGAAGTCAAGCGACAGTTAACATCATTCTCCTACTGTATAAAATATGTTATAGACAGGTTTTGTAAGTATTAGGTAGGTTACTAACGCGTTTTTACGTACATACAGATTAATTAAGCATATAACAAATATATTCGCCGACTTACGTCAAAGTGATCTTCACAGCATCAAATAATGGTCTTTGGAGAATAATTGTCATTTCTCTTCGCACTTGAAACCACTTTTTTCTCAATTTTGGGTCATAAAATTAATTCAATCAAAAGTCAAAAACAATTTATTTGGATACTTTGTTGAAGTAGATGGACACATTGGCACAAAACATGAGTCAACACGGCTTTTTTTTTTCGGAATATTGGTGGTATTGTTATGATCACCTGATGTTGATGAATAGTCCATTTTAAATTATTACAAAAAATATCTCGAAAGTCGAAAAAATATGCAAAAGTATGAAAATTGAAAGCCAGCGACGAACAAGTACGACCAGTGACAGACAGGACTGACGTCATCGGAACCATAGGACCGGTTTCGCGCGAAAATTTAAACTGTCTATTTAAAACCGCATTTTTTCCGATAAATTACAATGTTTTAATTTTTTAATATATCTGTGGTTTATTCTACATGCAATTCTTTAAAATGAAAACAAAAATAAAAATATTGCATCTTCCCTATTTAGTCCCTTTCATTTCTACACTTGAAAACTCTGCACATTGGACAAAAAGAGTTACAACCATGTCAACATTAACTCTTGGTAAATTCCTGGAGTCTGCTTTAATAAACCCAATTTCCATTTTTATCAAAAAACGCAATTAATATTCCCATAAAATAATATTCACTTTTACAACCATAACCTCAAATAAGTTGTCATAACAGGAGTGACGTCACTAAACGCTGATTAGTGTTTTAAAATACGTTATAATAATAATATATGAGACCATTAATTTAGTGAAGATCTGATGAGGACACCTACTTTTGGAGAAAACAATGGAACTGGAATAGAAAAATGCCATGCCACCGTTGATCGGGTTATTCAGATCTATCAACATGAATGGCACCGACTTCAAAATGTAGATATGCCCATAAAGAAGTACAGAATTTCATTATTTCTCACCTTTAAGAGGTTATGTTTTTGTGAAGCCGGTTTTAATTTTTGGTAAAAATACATTTTTTTTAATGTGTAATTGGTCTAGCTTTTTTTTACAGGGTTCTTACCGAAATATGGACTAGGTACTGAGATATAAGGCTGTGATCTTGATTTATAATTGGAGAGGATAATAAGCTTTAGTTTATTAAACCTCCAAAAAATTACAGAAATTTAAAAACTCTTAATTTGCATGAGGTTCCTAGCATGAATTATCATTCTACATTATTTTGCATAAAATCCTACTTGAGCTTCTGAAAATCATATTTGAGACAACCATTTTGTCAACATACCTATTAATAAAAATAGAAGCTCCAGTCCCGGTGTATACGGTCATTAAATCATCCTCAAAAGCCATTTGGACACAAAGGCTATGGTCAATACACAAACAAAGCTCGACAGGGATAGCTCTGATTGGGAAAGTAAATTATTGCTTGAGAATTTATATTTTATTCTATCTCAGGATCCGTTCTTGATTTGTGTGAAAGTTTTTCCATCGAATTTCCACGAAAATCATCTACCTACATTACCTACCTAATGCAGCGACTAATAAACCGGTCACGTCAACGTTATTTATTGTTATAGCAACAACAAAGAACAAGAAATCCACGCCAGTAGACTTATTTATCCCTCAAACCCATTTGGGCATAGCTTAATAGGACCTTGAAACAAATTTATTGCCACTTATTAAATAAAATTGTTTCCCTGAGTGTATTGCGCTTTGCTTTACCACTTTAATTAAGATCCCGTTTAAGGTGTGAAGGAAGATAATTCATTATTAACGTCAAATAGCGATCTCGTTTAATTTATCGTCTTCATCTCGTTTATTTTATGGAATCTTAATCTGTCTTCATAGCCATAAAAGAAAATGAGAAATCTCGGAAACTACTTTCTCAAAAGTTCAGCAATGTTTGAGAATCTGAATAGGACTTCGAATTGCTAACGGTACCTGCCCACTTGGAAGTGATAAATGACATTTGTGTTTGGAAAACTTATGTCGATCGCAGTAAACTAGTGCCTATATCCAGTAGGCAAATGATACGCGATTGTTTAGGTTTTTCATGTTTTAAAGGAATTCAATTTGTAAAACAATATGTATTTGAAACCGTGTCAACATGAACGAGCCGTCGACCGTGGTTCGTCGGCACGGCGTTTGGTGGCGGGCGCGTTGCAGCGCCGGCTCGTCCGGTCCGGTAAATACAGCCTCCTCTCCTCTCGGGTATGGATTATTCGCAACGAGCGGAGAGCAGCTCCGAGCCAGCCAGTGCGACCCACGCGCTCCCCGCGGCAGCCCGCTTTTGAGCGCACGCTCTTCGCTCGTCGTCGCACTCTTCGCTCGCTCGTAGCGCACTCGTCATAATAAATAACCTTTCACCCGTGCCTCCGAGTTCGCTCGCCTTTAGCGACGCTATTTAAAAGCATGCCATTAATACTAACCCTATTGTGTTCAAATGACGAGACTAGTGTCACATTAAAATATCATGAAAAGCACTTGTGGAACCTTTAATTTCTGTGCATTCTACATGTGATATTTTATTACTTTTAATTTATGAGTAAGTATTTAAATAATTATGTTAAAAAGTTAAATAAACTTTTAATCGTGAATACTCAACTTCTTACGCCTGGGGTACGTGTATTTGAGATATTTTATTAACTTGAGACTATTAGAATAAAACTTTTTCATAACTTCGGCAATATTATTTAAAAATAAAATAAACGATTGTTTATTTTTTATTCAATCATCCGAATTTCCAACTGGAGACTAACTTTGTACTGCTTATATAAATAAAAATAAAGCAAAATTTATTACTTTTTTCACTACTAAGTAAAACTTAACACTAAAACTTTAATAGTAACATAAAAAGCTAAATTATTGTTCTAGTAAAAAAATGGGCAACTGTAAATTGAATTTTAAATTTGTTAAATACAGATACAAAGATTTCCAAATAAATAATTCTGTTAACGAAACCAAAACAAAGTCCATTAGGGGGATAATGATTTACACGGGCCCTAATGTTAGATTTGTTTGTGATTTGCGAAATTCTCCAACAGCTTCCGAAGTTTGAAATACTAAGAGGAATCGCTATTTGCTTGATGAAACACAAACTCATAATTTTCCTTGTTTTTGCTGTAACTGATTCGTATCAGCGTTACCCTTTACTTTAATTAAATACAGCCTCATTTATGTTTGTTTGTTTAATATCACAATGTTTATATTTATTGTTTTTCTAATTACTTTTACAGTATTTATAACCTATATTAAAACAATGGTTTTAATAATTTTGTTAATTTTTTAAAGTAATTAAATTTGATAGCTCATCCGTAACGACGAAAATTTGCGTAATCACTTTTCACTACACACATTAATTATTTTAATATATTTAGTAAAGTAAACCATATTAATTAATGAAAGCGTATTGGAGACATTTGATTAGTTTTTTTAAAAAAAAGTAGAAATTTCGTCATCTTGTTCAGATAACCGGAATTCTTTTGGCTTAGTTTTTCCGGATCACTATAATGTTAGCCTTTCAAGTAAAGGATAAATAGGCATTTAATGGGTAAGCGCGTTCCATCGTAGTTAGAGAAAGCACTCAAGCGCAAATCCATTACGAAAAAAGGTCAAGAAAATCTGTACCACAGATTTCTGATCTTTCCGGAGAAAAAAAATACCATTTTATTTCGATCACAACGATCGATCGTTAGTCCTGACTAACGAATTTAAGATCATTAATAAAACAATGTAAGAAAATGGTCTTCTTATTGGATATTAAAGGGAAATGTTTTCCGTATGATGTTCATTGAATATACCTTTTTGCAATCAACGACAAAAAAATATTTTAGTTAAATAAAATTATTATTATTAGCGATGGGCCGACTATAATATTTGCCGACTAACCGACTAATCGGTTTTCGAATAGCCGACTAGTCGGCAAACTATTCTGCAATGCCGATCATTCTAATACCTATCTTAGGAAGGTGTTCGGAATATTTCTTCACTACTCGGCTTGCTCACGTACGACACGAGTATCCCAAATCAAGCCGAAATATTCACATTACAACATCACAATTTGCCTCTAAGAAAAAAAAGAAACCTGTGGACTTCTTTAAAACTCGCTAGCACTTATGATTTTACTCAATTAATACTATTCATTGTCTTATCCGAATTACTGACAGAATCCTAAGTTCCTAATTCTTATTATGTTACCTTTTTTTTTAATATTTTAAGTCTGTAGGTAACTTTAAATACGTACTCTAGGTACTGTTTTAATATTCAAAACAAGCGTAAGTTTTGAGTTTAACTTCATTGTTATGTGTCGATTATAATCGACATGTTATGCCGAATAGTCGCCGACTATAAACGATGCCGAAAAGTCGTCTTTCCCGACTAGTCGGCGGCTAATCGGCCCATCTCTAATTATTATGTTTTTTTATTTTTTAAACGGCTAACTGCCAGATGTTTAAATTTAAAGAAAAGTTTACTAGAAAAAAAAAACACGCGGACCAGGCAGCAGACGGGACTCGAACCCGCACCCTTCACTATTAGTGCATTCGTCCTGATAGCGGAGTGTGGGGGTTCGAGTCCCGTCTGCTGCCTGGTCCGCGTGGTTTTCTTTTTCTAGTAAACTTTTCTTTAAATTTAAAATTATTATTTTAAATAAACTTATTTTACAGTAGTGATGACTTTAATAAATTATGTAGATTTCACTTGTGAAACTACTTGTGCTGGGATTGTTTATACTGATCTTATGTTTTATTCAGGTGTTTATTTCTGTTACAATGAAAAAATCTCCAAACGTCGATGCTAAAGTACCTACTCAGGAAATCTGGTTGAGTAGGGTCCCTTGAACAAAGAGAATTGTAGAAGAAGCGTGTGGCATTTTAATGAACTTGAAAGGCAATGGAAGTACCGATGGCCGAATGATTGAACCCGAGTGCTATTCCAGTGCCTATCTACTTAGGTAGTTTTAACTGCAGGTTTTCTTCAAAACTGGTAAAATCTGTTTCAGAAGAATTGAAATTTTTTCACACATAGAAGATATTTTTTGAATCTAATGGTTTTTAGTTGATCGAAACATTAACGAAGATATCAATTTCAGTGTTTATTTAATTAAGGAAATACTTACATTATAAACATAAATCTGTAATAGAAACTTAAATCTTCAAACAGTGTCAGTAGGAATTTTGTTAAGGCGAACAGTTGGAATAACAGGAGCGGTCCCGCTTCAGCTATAAAAATCCTGTAGAACCTCTACTAATGTGTGTAATGACGGCAAATATTTGTTCCCGAATCATGGTTGTAGATTCAAACTTAAGTGGTTTTTCGATGTGTTTTTAATGTAAAAATATATTGATTATGTATTTTTAGAAATAAATAAAAAATAAAAAAAAAAAAAGATATACTTAGAAGGGACCGACCGCGATTTTATCCGCGTTAACTTTAGTTTTCTCAGATATTTATTTCCGTATAAAAAATATTATATTTCTCAATCCAGGTCATAAATTATATCCATACCAAAATTCATCCAAATCCGTTCAGTGGGTTTTGCGTGATTGAGTAACAACACATACAAACTTTCATCTTAGTTTGAGACAAAATAATTAATGTAATTGTGAGCTGCTGTGATTATTATTTTAAGCATATTTTTATTAAGTACTTATCAATCTAGCCTAATCAATCCGTTCATAGATTTATGCCACAAAACGACCTATTAGATGGATAAGTGCTTAAATTTAAAAAAAACTCAACGATGGCAAATGTATAATTATTTACTTACTTAGAATCTAAAATTTAAGTCTACCTTATTATATCTGCGCGAGATACTTATCTGCTGCCACATTCTCTATGATTTTACAGTCGCAATCTCAAAAATGTTAGACAAATATACTTAGGACAGCTATTTAAATCTAGAATTAATTTCTTTGGGACATTCAACTACCTGCGTTTTAGATGTCATTTCTAAATAAATCTTAGGGCCTGTTCGCAGCTTCACGTCACGACGTACAGTGGGGGGGGAAACGATCAAAACTACGCGCGAGGCAGTAAATCTAATCCAACGGAAATAATTTTTTTTAAAGACTCGTAATTATGTCTGCTTTCTTGGAGCACTGCGGAAATTCACTTTTTTAGAGGTAGGGGCGGTACCCCTATCAATCCCTAAGCAGGCTAAACCACCAGATTCTGGGTAAATGGTAATGGTAATGTGGGAAAGGTGTATCGGGGTTGAGGCAGGCTAGCCTATCTGTGTATAAAATATATATTTCCTTATAAATATGTAGTTAATCCAACTCGTTTTACCCAGAATCTGGTGGTTAAGCCTGCTTAGGGGTTGATAGGGGTGGTTTCTACCCCTAAAAAGTGGATTTCTACAGTGCTACAAGAAAGCAGACATAATTACGAGTTATTGAAAAATAAAATTATTTCATTTGGATTAGATTTACTGCCTCTCGCATAGTTCTGATCGTCACCGCCCACTGTGCGTCGTCGTCAACGTGAAACGTTGTCAGTAACGTTGAACGGTGCGTTGACATAACGTGCAAATTGGGTCGTAAAATTGCATGTAATGTCAACGCATGCACCGTGCCGCGTTACCGCACCGTGCCACGTTGACGACATCGTGACGTGGAGATGAGGACAGGCACTAAACTAGTTGTATATTGTTTTAAAAAACCGGCCAAGTGCGAGTCAGACTCGTGCACCGAGGGTTCCGTACAAACTTGATTTTTTAAAAATATTTTTTATTATATGAGGTAACTAAAAATTTGCGGTTTTCGCAATTTTTCCTTTTTCTGTACTATATAATACGTTACTTCGTAAAAAATTTCAAGCTAAGTTCACGGAAAGTACCCTGTAGGTTTTGAATCCCATCTTTTGATTGCTTTGGCTTAGAAGTTTGATTTTTTCACATTTCCAAGGGACAGTAGACCTGGCTATTAGATATGAATTTCAGTTTGATACCTCCACGCGTTCCTGAGAAAATTGGTCTTGACAGACGGACGTATGGACGGACGGACGGACAACAAAGTGATCCTATAAGGGTTCCGTTTTTTCCTTTTGAGGTACGGAACCCTAAATATATATATATTATTTCGTTCAACGAAGACATTGCCTGCAAAGACACTTCAAAAATGTTTGATATATAAAAAAAACGCGATACAACTAAAACATTTTTTTTTGATCGCCTCAATTTTTTATACTCTGTTTATGTTACCCTGGCTTATAAAAAATGGAAAATAAAATCAAAAGTTTTTCTGACTGGGAATCGAACCCGGGCCTCCCACGAGTCAGGAGAGCTTTCTATCATTGAACCTCCGATGCTTGTTAATAAAGTTTAAATTTTTCATAACAATTATAAATGTAATGCGACATGCTAAAGATGAACTTCCACTAAAAAAATAAAATTTTCACTGTAAAATAATAATAACACCGCTTTCAAAAAGCTAATAAAGTTTCATTTCTAACATCAAATATATCTATATTAATGGAGGCGTGTTAAATGTTAGCACAGCAGTTAAGCTCGGCCAAGCGCACTCCACCAGTGACCACTCCCGAGGG